CCCCCCCCCGGGCCACCCGCTCCGGAACAGACCTTCTCCGAATCACCTGTTTATCTGAGTGCACTCAATACACTCTTTTTCTTTTGTAGGATACAGGTAGGCCCATGATAACGACCTATAATGCTATGAGGCACCAGTGTTTTTTTTTAAAAACATTTCTTTATTAATTTTTATTCCACCAACAGATGGATAAAGTAAATCAAATACAAAAAGACAATAACAAGACAATTACAATTCTCATGTATACATCTCATGGTTACAATGATGCTATCAGACATGTAAACCACAACCTAGCAATGTCAATTTCTGCATACAAAATTTTACATGCATATATATACCACTATGGCATGTCCCAACCCTTGCACAACCCATATTCTCGCCATCTATTAGAGGCACCAGTGTTTTAACAACCAATCTCATTATACAAGCCGCACATCATCTTTGGTTGCTGGGTTCGGTAGGTTTAGCTATTCACCAAACCTGCATTGCTGCCACGGTTGGGCAAATGTCCAAGCGACACAGCACAGGCCAGCTTGCTCATCACTATCCAGCAGTGATTTAGGCAGTGTTTTAATATCTAATATAAATAGAGAGATAGTAAATAGAGAGCAAGTCCCAAATTGAATGACTTTCCTGCTTCTATTTAATCTTTGAGGATAAGTTGCTTGACAGTGGCTGTAATTACATAGGTCAGTGAAGGTTTACATTTCGAACCTCTTTACTGCTTTTTAAGAATATGTAAATATTTGAATGTCCATAGTCTGGCCACAGTTCTGCTTTCACAGCACTCTTTCTAAGGATTAAATACAGATTGTTAATTATTTAAATTACTGTAACAAATCTGAATTCATTGTGTATTTCTGACAATAAAATAAACTTTAGTTCCTCTACACTTAAAATGTTTGTGTCCATAGGCAATTGTTCGCAGGTAATTGCAATATGTCCAATTACATGGAAACAGCCATGAATGGCTGCTGATCGCATGAGTCTTATGAAGCAGTTTCAGAGGACTCACCCAATAGGCCCCATTGGCAAGTGTAAATGGAGCCTATGAATTAGGAAGTCTTATTGAATAAGGTCAAATGTCCCCCATGGGGCACCATCTTATTATATCAGCTCTGAGATATCCTTTGAAGGTCTGGATATAATAGTGCTTGGTCTTAGCAAGGTTTTTATTACCTCTATTACTGATGAATGGGTCAAAACAGATGTGGAAGTAAACTGTAATTTGCTTTAAGAAAATATTTTGTAGCTCTGACAAACTGTAAAACAGTTCCTAAAATTAGGTACATTATTATGTATTACTAACCTGTGATGGAGTTGTCACATTGATCTCAGGGACAAAATTATCTTCAAAGAAGCTTATAATGTTTTCCTGCTGCAGTTCTTTTGATGGCGTGAGCTTTGGTAATGGAGGGACAGGAGGGCCTTTTCTCAGCTGCAAAAAAAACCTTATTATTTAATTTGTGAGACTCTTATGTTTATCAATTACCTTCCAGAGAGTATATAATCTAATCAGATTCTACCAACAAAGGACGACCTACAAAACATTCCCTGTCAGAAATACTGCTGCAAGACGTTACATCTGAAAAAAAAAAAGGGGGGAAGTTTCTGCAGCCTGAAGCACATAATTGTACTTGATTGCTGGATATGAATATCTGCACTTCAGAACTCTAGGAACAGTCTCAGTATGACTGGCAATCAGTACACCTTAGATCAAATGATGACACATTTTGATGCTTCCAAAGCCTGTTAAACTATGAAAGATTAAAACACCTTTTTTTAAATAAATCCACAGTTGAGTATATATATCACTGTGCAAAATATTGAATAGAAATACCCCTGACTATTATGCAGTAAGACAATAAAGTGTGTGCTGAGACATAATCAGCATAATGGTTTTTTTCTTCCTACTCACTTCCTGTTCTGTCTCTGGGGCAGAAAGTGAAGGGTAATTTCTCTATTGGGGCAGGCACAGAAAAAAAATAAACTAACAGGGGTTTTAAACCTCCCAGTTTTTTCTGTGTGGCCAGGCATCCATTATTAAGATTCACACCTGGAAAATGAAAACCGGAGAACAAGAGTATCTGATTGGATCTTCTAGGCAAACATTCCATCTAATAAATGTTGCAGTGTTGCAGTGAACCATAATTCCCGTAAACCAGGGCTCTCTGATATGCAATTATCAATTTTGCTTAACAAAGTTAAGGGCTGGCCTGTTTATTCCTACACCTTGCTATTGATTAAGTCACCTGCTGATCATGCTTAAAACCAACTGCTAGGCATCGAAGGTTTGAGGGGGAAAGCCACTGTTCAACTTTGTAAATATAAGAAGGAATGTATATATAAAAGCACTAGGAAGATGAGTTTCAGGTTGTGGTTGAAAACTAGTTTGACCCAAACAAAGTCTTTCCACAGTATTGCGAATGGGAGAACAAACAGGCCAGTTTGCCTACCATTACCTCCAGCTAAATATTTATTTACAAGCATCAGTCAATACTTGTCATTTTGTGATGGTAGCAGCTGAGGAATCACATGATGTCATTGACCAAATATGATCATGATCATGACTATATTTGGTCAATGGGATCACGGCGAACCATACCAAATCACATGCCTTCGAGGCTGGTGGGGATTGTTCATTTAGAGGGGTAGTGCTACTAAATGACAGATTCCCTGGTTTGGTTACAAACAGTAGCCAGACAGAAACCTGTCATTTAGTTCTGCAGTGCTACTGCTGATAAATCCAGCATTATTTAACTGCCATGTGCATTACCCTATAAATTCATTGGTGTCCCTAACTTAATCATCCCTTGAGGCAGGGGGAATTGGTGCTTGGTGCTGGTGGTCACATTCCCGGGGGTGGGTTTTGAGCGCTGGTGGTCATGTCCAGGAAGGCGGGGGGAGTGCTGGTGGTGCAACCTAATGGCGCTCTGGCCAGCATTCTGGTAGTGCACACCCAGCTCTGGCCAGCATCCTGTCCAGCTCACTGACATTACTGGTTGCCAAGAGCTGTGTGGGATGCTGCCCAGAGTGTCTAGCTCAGATAAGCTGGAGGGGGAGATGTGTATGACCCTTACACATATCCCTGCCTAGGCCTTATCAACCTGGAATGCTCTGGCTGGATATGGGAGTGGTAGGCAGGCCGCCCCCCATGTGACCTAAAGAGATGCCCCAATCTGACAGTAAGGCTAACATCACAAGCGAAAAATTCGGCAGGTTCACTACAAAATGCAGGGAGAACAGCCCAACTGCTCTCCATCTGTTGCTTCCTTGCCAGATTTGGCATCAAGGCATTGCTTTCTTGATGCCGAAAATGCTTCAAAATCCAAGGTGCTGGCTAGAGAACAATGCCTTGCTCATTTAGCCAGTAAGGTAGTGACACATCCAGGCACGTGAGTGTTTAACTAACCGCATACGTCTTCCAAAGTGATCCTACCCCTGGTGATTTCTCGTCAGCCATATGATTGTTAATCTATCAAAAGTGTGACATTAGTCTAAGTGAGGAGAAATCTCTCTAATAGAGCATTAGATAGCAGTAAAAACCAGATGAGTTCTAATCCTTTCCCATGGCTTGTCACACACTTTGGATAAGTTTAGAATTCTTTTGGGGATAGATTTTAATGCAGTTGTTGTATCCCGGAGAAAGCAGTAAAACAACTGATTTTTGGTGCTTTGCAATTTTATCTACATTTATTAGCATCTGAGAAGCAAAATGAGATGTAAACATTTGCAGACATTGAACATGAAGAAAAAAAGAGGAAAAAAAAGAAGCGCTATAGCTCTAGCCAGCTGTATATTGAAAAATTAAAAAAAAATTACCATTCATCTATTGAAATATAACTGACCAAATCTAATTCTGAAATCTTGGTTAGAGAAATAAGGCAATACCATTACTAAGTAATCCCGTAGTGGTTTAAAACATTCTGCCTTGTAGTAAAGTATTCAATAAATGCAGTAAATGTATTTATTTTTAAATTTACATATTTGCATTTAACATGTATACATTCCAGTTAGAAAGACTCTCAACAAGGCATCTGCTCGCTTTGCAGTATTAATGGGAAAGGTAATGGGGCAGATGTAAAAATGTTCAAACTCAGTAGAGGTCATTGTCTTGTGTCATATTCTCATATTCAAACAATGATCAGGGGAGAAATCATTTATAAATACATTATACATATTCTGCTTTAGCTCAGCTGGATATTAAGGATGTCCTTGAATATATGTCAGCATTATGACCTTATACAAGAGTTGTGTTTGAAAGGGGAGACTTATTCTTTTAAAATTAGATTTTTTTTTTAATGGATAAACCTTCTTAACAATTAATTAGGTATGGTTACAATAAGAAAATGTGTAAATAAAAAAAGTCTATTAGACTTTTTATTACCAATGTTTTGGGCATTTGCATTCAGAGTTGATGGTAGATAACAATGCAGAGCTCCTGACACAGATAATGATGCCCTACCCTAAGCCCTCCCTCACATTAACCCACCCTTTAACCCTAAAACTAACATTATGTAAATGTAACCCATTGTTTGCATACTAATATCTTCTGTGCCTGCATCCTCTGCACCAAGCATTATTCCTTCCTGGACCAAAAAAACAGCACAAAAGTCCTGGTGCTAAAATCTACTGCTTCAAGAAATTCAAACTCTCTTATTCAATGAAGAAAATGGGTTTGTTTTACTAAACTGGCAGAGAATATTCACTTAGCATATAACTGTATAATATCAGTGAACACAGTCTTAGTTTTTGCACTAAGCTAGAGTTCAAGAGCTGGGGGACTTTAAAAGCCTAAAATGAGGTCTGCCCATGCAGAAGAAGGATGTCTTGTTTTAACCATTAAAAAAATCAGATAGGCTGACATCTAGATAGTTTAGTTTGTACGGTATATCATTAAAGATCTCCTAATTCCTCCCACCACTTTTTTATTGGCTTACTTGACACCTCTAATTAAGTAATACCCATATTGGATTTAGCTCAATCAAAGTACAACAAATATGGGAAGTAAAGAAATATGTAAAATACGAAAAATTGTATCACTGTATGTACCATATGCGACACACCCAATCTGTTTTATAAAGTTTTGTAAATGTCAAAAACAAGGATATACCGTATTTGCCGGCGTAGAAGACGACTCGGCGTATAAGACAACCCCCTACTTTTTGTGTTAAAATATAGGTTTTGGGCTATACTCGTCGTATAAGACGAGTATAGCCCAAAATATTGTTTAAATGCACCCACTAACCTCCATGGCGGTATTCCCGAGTGCGGCTCGGGGTTAATTTTCAGTACCATAAGTGGTAACCCCGAGCCACACTCGGGATTACAGTCTCTTACCTTGTCCACGATCCCCGCTGTGTCCTCCGTCTTCCGCTGAGTAAATCACGGCAGGATTTGTATTAATGAATACAGGCTTTGTATTCATTAATACAAAGCCTGCCGTGATTGGCTCAGCACTGAGCCAATCACGGCAGGCTTTCT